TGTTTATGTCCACATCAATGGGATCATCCCATCCATCTCTTTTGGCTCTCGTGAGGAACGGCGCCATAAAGGTCATGGCTTGCGGATGTTGAAATGTGCTAAACTGTCAAACCCAGGTTCACGGTGGCGAGCCTGGCTTCTGGACTGTTGTTGCAGAGGCTGATGTTGAGAGAGCTGGCAGCCGCACTTGCTCAGGGGATGGCCTCAAAATCCCACCACTCCAACACACCAAGAACCATAACTGTGGGTGTGGTAGATTGTTGACACCAGTTTAGTCAGCCAGGGCACTGCCACAATGCATCGTTCTGTTGGTGAAGGTTTTTGACCAATGTGAGTCGGGGGGTGAGAGGTTCTATGAAAAAGCAAAAACGAGCGCAAAGGAATCAAACACAAAAACAAAAGGGAAACGTATGAGGCAGGCTAACGTATTAGCCCGAATCATCCAAATGCAAAGAGAGTATCCTGGCTGCGTCTTGTCTAAAAGCATTGCAATGGACATACTCAGCAAATTCTGACAAATTCTGGGCATTCCTGTGTCCACACTCTGGGCAAGACAGCTGAGCAATGTACGCCATTCTCGCAACCCCGCAGACTATGCCCACATTGAGAGAAAATGCCATAGTATATAATGCTTTTGGGATGTCCAACTTCAACTTCAATTCAACCTGTAAAGAACGACACACCGTGTGGATTCAAGCACGTGCAGTGTTATTTTGATCGCACGTCTCGCGACCATTTCAATGACACACTTCAATGACCATTGGGGTGACTGTCCAGCTGCGTCTCTTTGGACACCGAGGCTGTTTCGCCCAGCTCGTGCGTCACTAATCCTTGTCTATATCAACCATCTCGATGTGAAACAAAATCTTTTCATCAAAGCTGATCTCTGGCGGTCGTACCTTCGTGCACTTGGACCAGTGCTTTGCAGCTGAGCAAAAGGGGTTCATTCGATGCATGTTACAAAGCAGAACCCCCAACACTCCGGAAACAAAATGTTAGCAAAAAACGTGCCTTCTTGTCGTACCCTAGCTTCGGAGGAATTGTCGCCTGGTCTTCGTACGAGCTCAAGACTTCTTAAGGTCACTTGGACATATTCTCTCCTTGTCTTTCCGGCGTGAAGTCAGGTTTTATTCTTTTTACTTTGGTTCTGCACCTTCCTCTTTTCACCAGTACACATTCCCATCCTCAGTTTCTGTTCAATTCTTTGTCACACACATGTCCAAGCATTGCATAAGTAAGCTGCTCACACTGCGCTTTGAAAGCCTTTCATGCATTCTGGTTTGGACTGTTGGCCGCACTTGCCCAGCTTGAAAACATACCTGCAACTGCTACAACTCATCCCACTTGATGACTTTCCTTCAATGCTCTTCCTGCATGCTTGGTCAAAGGCACGGTTCACCGCCTTTTGTGCTCTCAAATTGCTGGCCAGCACTTTTCAAGAAACCTCGATCGCTGGAATATGAATCGGAGCTTCCTTTCGATCGGATTCATTCATGCAAGCAGTGTTTCTTGTTGCAGCCAGCTGCTTGTGTAGTGGACATGGACCAAGTCACCATCACCTTCCCGGCATCTGCAACCCAACCCAAGCACTCCAAATCCGCTTGACAGAAAGCCACCCCTCCTGAGGGAATTCTACTACTAGTACTACTCCTACTCCTAATCCTACTCCTACTACTACTACTACCACTGCTACTACTTCTGCTACTGCTACTACTACAGTATATAATACCCGCCATCTGTAAATGGTCTTGTGCGGCTGAAGACATCGCAACTGTGTAGAAAGCAGTTTTGGGCCATTCAGTAGCTGCAGGCCAACAAACAACTGCGTGAGGGAACTGACAGAAAGTGTCCGCCAATGCGGGAGAATGGTAGAACAAAGGACCAGGATGAGATTACATGAAGAAAAATAGAAGGAACTAGAACCATTTTCAAGAGTAAGCCGTTTGTCTTCCACTTCTTTGGGTCGGTAAGCTCTTACTGTGGTAGACGGTAAAAGCGGTATCTTGGAAAGGCTCACAAGCTCACGTGCGATGTCGGTAATAGGAATAGACAACAACGTAGTGCTTGGTTTGGTTTTGCTTCACTTGAGAGTGAAGCAACGGCGATACAAGTTGGATATGTAAATTTGGATATGTGAGGTAGCTTCTTTGGGTTGCAGAGAGAGCAAGCCTGCCTTCCTTGCTTGCTAGTTTTCTTGTTGAGCGCAAGGAAGGGAAAGCAGAAAAACTGTGGGAGCTTTGCTTCGAAGTGTCTCCTTCAAAACCTGTAGGTGCGGTGTGACAAGCATCCAACATGAACAGCCACAGTGAGTCGTCTTGAACACCAGCCCTACGCAAGTAATGCCAAAAGCTAGCAGAGTCAACATATTACTATTGAAAGGCTTCTGAGTTTCTGTTCAAAACCAAATAAAGAGGTGTAGACGGTGTAGATCAAGAAAGCTGGACACCATCGCGAACAGTGTAAATTATATCTAGACCTGCCTGATTCTACACAGAAAACTGAATTTGGACAGGGCACTTGCTTTGAGTTCGCATTCTGATGGCTTGTGCACAACCTTCATTGCAAGATCCTGGCGAATTGCATAGAAGCCGACACAAACCGTGCTGAAACATATCAGATGTGGATGTGGCCTCGAGAAGCTTGACTCGCTTCTGCGACGGTTTATACTCAACAACCTGAGTTGCTCTTGGACGTGAGGCAATTGGTTATATAATCTCTTGAACAGTTTCCATTTCAGCTATGCAGCTATCCTGATTAATGATTGTGTTCAAAAACTATGAAATCCCTTTGTTCAATCCCAGGCACATAGTAGAGGTAAAGTGTGGCCAGAACCATCGATATCGGAACACTGCCAGGGTCTAACTGTGATTAAAAGTGAAACGGTCTCATGAACGATGCCCGAGGCAACTCCTTCGAAAGAAGTCACAGATTCATTGCAACCGCAGGTTGTAAAGGCATGAAGCGGCACACTTAAATGATTATAACTCCCACCTCGCGAAGTAGAACTTCAACGGCATGGTGGCCAGCTACCACTTGATCTGAAGCATAAAGCGTAAGCTTTGGAAGACGAGTACTTGTGCGTCTTGTAACAGTGGCCATATTATATCTTCTGATCAATCACTGTGTCTCAAAACCTAAGCTCCGTCTGCACATGGGGGCCAATCAATGTCACCACCTTTCATGCAATTAACTTTGTGGCTCCTACAAATTGCTGTATGTCTGACAATGTTTGCGCATTTGCTCTTGTCACTTGTATACTTCTGCGGTCCTGCGTTTCCATGTTATTTACAATTTACAACTCTCCTGAACCAGAGTCATGTACAAAGGAGCACACTGAAATTCATGTCAGTGAAAAGGGCTGTTTGTGGGCACCCATCGTCGACGCAACAACACCAGCAGTGAAGCGGGCAACCTGAAACGCTCTTCTTTTCAGCAACTAGTCCTTGTGCTTTAATTCCATCTTCGGCACTGCCAGGGGCCATTCATCATCCCTTAGGGACAAGTCAGATTCCAAAGACAAGCGTGTGTATAGACTTCATGCGCAGGTGGAGAGAGGTGCACAGCGTACAGAAAGAGTATCTGTTTTCCCCTTTGGTGTATATAACAAAAATGCTAGGACGAGGAAAAAACAAACAAAAAACAGATTGTTTGGCATTCTCTTTTGTATTTTCCAATGGGTTTAGACCGCCTATTTCATGCTCGTTAAAGGCTCGGCGATGATGTTCAGATCTGAAAGAAACACCTGGTCCACTAGTCAAACGCACAGTAGAGGGATACTTACCCAACTTGCAGGTCCTTGAATCACTGCAGACTGCAAACAGGGAAGGGAGGCCGTGCAGTTTGCCTTCGGTATTTACTTCTGATGCTGAAGCCAAGTGCTCCTTCATCAGATGTCTTGTTTGTGGCACGTTGTAGGTGCCAACTTCCAAGCTCAAGGAATCACAGTCTGCCGCAGGCAAACCATAAAAAGGCAGGCTCAAATTTGGATGTGTAGGGACATCCTGCCCCTGCCACTCTTGGGCTACCTATGGCGAGCTAGGCAAAGCCCCGCTGGACGGCCTTAGAACGTCTTGTTTGCTAGATCTCGTGTAGTAGCTCTCTCAAGCTATCAATCTCATTCTCGCAATTGTGTGGAAAAGAGCTGAGCATCCAACCCACTGCTCTCACACGTGGCGGCCTCTACTATGTGTGCATATGTGTCGATAAGCGCACAAAGAGGTGTGTGTGTGTGTCTGTATGTATGTATGTATGTATGTATGCATGGATGCATGCATGCATGCATGCATGCATGCATGGATGGATGGATGGATGGATGGATGTGCATACGTCCATCCGTCCGTCCGTCCGTCGGTCGGTCCGTAGGTAGGTAGGTAGGTAGGTAGGTAGGTAAGTAGGTAGGTAGGTAGGTAGGGAGGCAGGCAGGCAGGCAGGCAGGCAGGTAGGTAGGTAGGTAGGTGTGTCAACACAACGTGCCACTAGCCTAGTTCGGCAGAATACTCCAGCAAGCCCAAAGCTCCAACTCAAGAGGTGTGTGCAAATGACCAATCTACTTGCATGCAGGGCACAGGTCCAAGTGTTGGTCCTGAATTGGAGGATTCAATCTTCCGCGCTGAGGCCTGTGGTTTCTTCAGTCCTGCATTTTCAATAAGCTTTGCCGAATTGCCAACATTGGATTGCTGGCAAGGCTGACGCCAAATTTTCTGACAAGCTGGTCCTGCTGAAGTGAGTGTCATGACAGGCCTTTCAATCAAACACCACAAAGCAATTGCAGAGGAGAATGCCATGAAGCAATTTCCTGGGATGAGCAGTGCACGCTCAAGCACGACAAAGGTGACCAGATCTAGTCGAAATGTGTGAGCTTCCTGGAGCACATGATGCTACCAAGTTGCCTACAAAACGGTAGCACACTTCCTTGCAGTTGCAGTTATATAGGCTAGTCCAAAAAATGGTCAAGACTCTTCAACATGTCGCGAGAGTTTCATGCAATGTTTTCTTTCTCGTTACGTCGCTGGGGCCATCGCCATGCCACTAAAAGTGTAATACTGCACCGAAGTCCCTGCTGCCAATTTGATGACCTCATTGTTGCATAGCCATGACGTCTCCATGTTCCAAATCCAACAGTGGAAACACTGTAGGAGAGAAAAATGACGATCCAAGCAGCAAGGGGATGCAGCAGGTAGGCACCATAGGTCAGCCGAGCAAGGGGTGTCCATGCCGGGTGTGCCAAAAAAGAATTCGTCCAAGGCAAACAGCCTCAGCTCTCGGCAAAGGGGAGCTGCAAAGCGAAGCTTCTGGCTCTCGTAGCTTTGCAGTTGCTGCTTGCCATTCAAGGAACCATAATAGCAAAGAATTGTTATCGCAGCCCAGGACAAAGCCCATGCAACTCTCCCAAAATCAAGGAGCAGAATACTCTCAAAGTCGTTCCAGCCTGCATGCTCTAGCAGCTAGCAGCAGAAACAACCGACCGTCTACGGCCAAAGGGTCTCTCACACAGAATGAACACGTCAGGATTCTCTTGAGCACAAACCATCTTTCATGCAGCCATGCTGCTGTTCTTAGATGCACCGAAATCCGTGGCTGGAATAAAAACAACCAAGCACAATACAGCTGCTGACAGGATGGCAACCTTGGAGGGAGCTGCTGGAGGAAATCCTACGCCTGCTCAAGGCTACCACTTACTGCAAAGGGAAACAAATTGCCGACTCGAGCTTTCACAGAACAAAGACCCAACTCTTCAAAGTTTTGCAACGTTTGTTCAACATGTAGAAAGTGAAGAAAAAAAATATATAGAAACTAGAGGTTTGTTTTCCAAAGAGTCGATATAAGTTTAAGCCGTCAAGCTACAGCTGTGGCTGCAAGTGGGTGACGACGATGTGGCTGGCTCTCCCGTGTCAAACCCTTCTCTTCCAAGGTTCCCAGCAACCAGGCAGCGGATCTTAGTTGTGTGCCCCGGTTAGTGCCAGTCTGAAAATATGTCGAAAGACTGTTTCTACGTTTAGTTCAATTTTAAATTCAAGCAGCATTCCAACAAAGTACGCTGGAGCCCTTGTGTAGGGCTTGCTGTAGGCATAATATGAATACCTGCAAAGCAACCATTTCGCTTTCAAAGCGCGCTGGCTGGACACGGAACCGGAAAAGAACACGGTGCCAATGCAACTTAAGTCCTAAAACAAAGTCCCAAAGCAGCAAGCAAGCGAGCGCAATCACTCAAGAGTAACAATAGCACTATATAAATCAAAATAAAACTTAAATGTCCATGTACAACAAGCGAGCACGCTGCAGTGCCAACACAACCACCACAACCGCCCAAAAAAACAATATCAAGGTCCCACAGGCCCCACCCACTGTAACAGCGCGCACTTTGTTAATAAAACCATTGTCGGTCTACCGGTGGTCTCCAGAATGAAATCCAGACGGTACACTTATGATGCGGCAAAACCGACAGGAATGTACTGAGAACATGACTGGCTGTTCATGCATAGTAATGTCAGTGGTGACAAACAATGTTGTGAAACGTACACGCCCCCACCCACGCACTCGGGAAATGCGCACTGAACATGACAATCTTCATGAACATGAACCCCAACGATCTCAAAGTTCCTCAAAAATGAAAACCGAGGGACGAATGCACCTGCGCAAACCTGAATCATCCTGCAGCAGCCTGGTGCCTTCTAAAATCGGAGAGTGGTTAGAACATTCACAAACTGCGGGTACAGGAAAGTGATCAGCCTTTCCCTCCCATGCATGACCGTAGCTTCATTGCACCGCAGAATGAGGGACAGTGTATGTGGTCGCGATGAAAAGGAAACAAGCGAACAGGAACAACCAGATGAGCCATACCTCATTTTAACAACCTGGGCAACCTCAGGCCTGGGCTTCATGTACGAGTGGACTTGTGTGCTGAGGGCCGGACGGATGTGTGCGCAAAAGAGAGAAAGGAATGAGATGACAAGACATGAAGGCAGAAAAGACTATGATAGGAAAGAAGAAAAGACCGTGTGCGTCGGGGAAGGAATGAAAAAGGATGCCAATTAGGGGGGTCGAAAAAAAATGAAATCGAACTTCATTAACGGACCTAGGAGCACCTGGCCTATTTTATGTACATGCTGCGTGTGCACCTAGTGGGCCTTAAAGACTGCGGCCTGCGGCCTACTCTTGGCGTTCAGCCTGCGCTGACCTGCTTGCCAAAATGACTCTCCATAACAACCGTCAAGCCTTAATCAACGCTTGGCACAAGCCTCCCACGCTCGCTGCGACCTGCTCTCGTCCCGGGCGCAGGGACATAGACAAACCCTTCACATGGGGACACTCGTTGGGTACACCCTGGGCTGACACTAGGCCAGACACACTCGGGAAACGCGTACTGAATTGAAAGCCACTTGCCACAAGCCCACCTAGGTATAAAAGCGTAAGGAAGCCAGGGTATGTAAAGCGGTCAGAGCATGAAGATCGCCATGAACCCCAGCGATCCCAAAGTTCTTGAAAAGTGAAAACCGAGCGACGGATCATCCTGCGACAGCCTGGGGTCTTCTAAAATCAGAGTGTGGTTAGAACATTCACAAACTGCAGGTACAGGAAGGTGATCAGCCTTCCCCTCCCATCCATGACCGTAGCTTCGTTGCACACGGTGGGTCATGGATGCCGCGTGCCCCTGCTGAAAAACCAAGAGGTTCCCTTTGATTCCAAGGGTTTCACACACAGACACACATGCATTCATGCATGTTGATGACTTGGTCGTTCCATGACACAACCTCGCGATTATATAACAATGTTATTACTCTATATATATACATATATCAATGATGAAAATGCTCGTCAAAGGGCGTGAGCAAACCAACCACCACAACCACATCGACCACCAAAAAAATATAGACTACGACGGTATTTCCACAACAACTGAACGACAATCAACAAACAAAAAGGAATTTGCAAAGCTAAGACCAGTAGTAAGAAGCTGGATAACAGTTGAAGCTCCAATTTCTGCCAGTTACTCAGTGTAGTGGCTGTCGAACACGTATGGCGAAAGATGGTATCTGGCGATCAGCCAAGCGGTAACTCCCATGGAGAGGCCACTCAGGCACCTGAGGCCCATCCCACCCACGTCGTAGAAAATTGTGAAAAGGGGAAAACCATGGAAGACTCATGAAGACTCTCTCTTTTGCTCAATTGATTTTTTTCATGTAGGTTGGAGGCCATCGCTGTCAGGTTGGAGGCCGTTGCTATTAGGTTGGAGGCCATGTGAAAGCTTCCTGTTGCACTCTGTGATGCCGCCAAAGCGCAGCAGCAGCCACCAGCCTAGAGCTTTCTTCCTGTGATAGATGGGCACCAGCACCTTGACCATTCAATACGCTAACAAAGGGTCGACGGTGCTGAGCAAGGACGTGAGGAACAAGGAGTTCTTGGCTAACAATATTCGTCATTCGGACCAAAGCCATATGTATAATCCAAACCGCCCCCCCCTCCCTCTCAACCTACAAGTCTAGGAATGATTCGTGATGCGGATGATTGCTCTTCTTGCAAGGTGGCTGGTAGAGTGCAGAATTCTGCCCACTGCCCAATGCACCAAGACTTCCGAAGCACAGAAATGGACACTAAAAACCAAGCAGCACAACCCAACACGAAGAAAATCATGTCATCACCTTAGGTCATGGCTACGAGTTACCTATGATTCTGTCAGTCTCCACCTCCTTTGCTGCCAAGTTTCCAAGGTACCAAGTCCAGCCCATACACACTTTATCAGAATCAAACGGAATAAAGTTCCTCAAAGCAGACTCTTTGCATTGTACGGCCACTGGAACACAACCAAAATGGCTGTGAAAGCATGACAAGGAACATTGTGTAGGTCAGCTCTGACCACCAAGACCTTAAGCAGGATGCAAGGACATTGGAGGCTGCTGATTCTCAACCACCTGCAACGTGGCATTCAGAGTGTTTGTGTAAATTTAGGCCTGGACCCATCGCATCGACGAAAAATGGAATCCTGCAAAATCACTGCGAAAGGTCCCGATGCCAGATACGGCACTATCCCATAGTACACCAACCTAAGGGTCAAAGGCAACCACAACAAACTGTCTCGGAATGCTGTCTGTGCCTTTCCTTGATCTAAAGTCTTGCAATCGACAAGAAGCATTACAAGCGCCAAGCTTGGAGTCAAACGAAAATACCTGACTGCAGTGACTGCAGGAAATTGGTATATATATATATATAGTTCTCACTGAGCAGTGTTCACTTGTCATGAAGAAGCTGGCCCTTGGCACCCACAACTGTTTGGGGCACCGCAACAATACCGCAAGCACGGGGTTAGGTCCCCGGTTGCTGAGTTCTTTCAACATCAAGTGGGAGAGGAGGAATCCAGACCTTGGCGCTCAAGAGGTTGGTGGTGCGCCCATGCGGGGCCATCTGAGGTCGAAGCAAAAAGAAGAATGTGTCCACACCTCAGAATTTGCTGGGCAACGGCTCGCCCTGTTCTCTCGGCTTCCATGCCAAAACCTCTAAAAGCAGCTCGGCATGGCACTCTGTTCGGCTTGGATGATGAGCATGAGCATCGGGTTATTTTCAGCTGAGTCTTTGTTCAAAATACCTCCCACTGAGCTTGGCCAGCAAAATCAGCTTGAAAAAATCACGCAAATTCTTGGGAGCAAACTGCTGGTAATATCTTGCGGGTTGGAATAGCCAGACACGCCTGTTCAAAGCGATACAGCACCACACAAACCCACAGAAAGCATCATATCATATGGCATATTCTCCAGCGTTTCCTGAAATTACGTCTACGAGCCTTCAGGCATTAAGAAAGAATGGCCCAGGATGATCCATGCCATTGCAAGAACCCGCAATCCATTGAGGGAGTCTGTCGGCTTCGGCCTCACCAGCTTCGGAATTGATCAAGCAACGAACATATATCATATATTTCCTTCGGAGCCCCGTCAGCCCCGTTCCTTGCTTCAAGCCGAGGCACGGCGGCTGTTCCACCAGTTTTGTCAGAGTGCCGTTGCGTCCAATCAGCGAAAAAGCCTACGAGATGCACATCAATACTTAGAATGCAGCACTGAATAAAAGGATGGCTCATGGTGGCATGGGGAGGGAGGCAGCACTTTCCCAAAACGTTGGTCCTTGTCAATGCTCTGCATCTGGCATTCAAGCAAAAGCAACTCCAAAACACGATGGGGAAGTGTTTCTGAAATCCTAGTTGTTGGGTGATGCTTTCGCATCTCCACTTTCAAAAGCATTTTGTATGGCATATATCGGCCTATATAGTTGCGTTGCTCGTGCCATCACAAATCGCATGTTGGCGTGCTGAAATGCATAAGTGTGAGAGCTCTTTTGGACACGAAAGGGCCTGCGTTTGGTACACATGATTTGTGCGTGTCATCCTTGTGAACTAGGAGGCTTCTTTCTCGCACTCCTCCTTGGGTGACTGAGCTTTTAGCTCGTTTCATCCACCTCTTAAAATTTCAGTGCCGCACTATCTACATATTCATAGTGCTTCTCCATCTTCTTGTAGACGAGCAGTCGCCCTGCTGCATCACCTGCTCTGTCTGCACGTTGCCACTCTCGGTGTAGCTGTTCCATGTGTTCTTTTGCTCTCAACCCGGATCTTCCCTCTGGTAGGTCTAGATCTCCCAGGTCATCCATTCTCATTCTCTTGATCTCTTCAATCTTTTCCTCATGTTCCCTCTTTCGCTCAGCCTGCCTTGTCTCTCGGACATCATTGTCCTCTGAGTCACTCTCAGGCTCTTGTCGTTGTAGGTATTCCATGGGGATGTCAACCACCTCTCCTGAACCCAACCGAACTTGGGCTGTCTCTCCCAACTCCAGTTCTTCACCTGGTACGTCATCTGGGAACGCACCAGCAAGATCTATTGCCTCATCCTCGAAGTCTTCAATGCACTTTCTGATCAGATGATCCTTTGCTTGTGTCTTCAACCTCTGTAGATTGTAGTTCCGGTTCGACCTCTGCAGGTAGTCCCAGTGCTTCCATTCGTCATCATTCATCTCCGTCTCATCCACAAATCCATCATTCTTGATGAGACCTCGGTGAAGCTTCAGCATGTACTCGCCCAGAGTCTTCATGGCCTCTTTCTCTGAGTCCTGTCGTCGTGCCAACTCCTTCACCTCATACTCGACTGCACCAATCATCATGCCATCGGTTTTGCAATCTTCCTTCAACTCTCGAAGATCGTCTCTCACTTCTCTCAAGCTCTTCCAGAGCACATAGACCATGCCAGCTAGCATCATCACCAATACGAGCAAAATGCCCATCACCAAACTTGCCGTAGAGCTCCAATTCTTCTTGCTTTCAACCATGCACATGTCATTCTCAGTCGTGTAGTTCCCGGCCACGTGCTCAAGACCCTCCAAAAGTAGAATCCTGTTCAGCAGTTTGGCCAATCTGGTGATCTTCCCTTTGCTGACTTGTCCTTCCACAACTCGGTCACGCTCCTCCTTTCCCAAACGTTGATGGTCCTTGTTGTTGACTTTGCACCAGAACAGGATCAACTGGATCCGTGCTTTGCTCAACGGTTTCGTCCCCAGATCAGAGACGTTGTACACCGTCCCCACGGACTTCACCTTGATCTCGCCCTGGGCCACCAGATCCTGGATCCATAGCAGTTTTCCTGCAATGTGCCTCAACCGTCCTGGGCCCTTCTTGTGACATAGGTGCAGAGCTGCTGAGTTGTCCACAGGCAATGATGTGTCGCATCCTCTCCACTCAGGAACTCAAGGCACCTTCTCAAGTAAATGCCATCAGCTGCCGCACCAACCAAGGCGTTCAACTCTGCTTCTGCAGAACTGAGGCTCACTGACTTTTGCCCTCTGGAGCTCGAGAAAACCACTCCATTCACCATGTGAATTGCTGCGCTCGTTGATCTCCTGTGGCTCTTCGGTCCAGACCAGTCGCTATCGGAAAAGGTTTCCAGCAGCCATCTTGAGGTTTCACATCTGGTCACCAATCCACGGCCTGCCTCCTCCAGTTCCATGACGCTGTACTGGCCCATAGTAAACTTCAAGTAACCAATCAGTTTTGATAGTTTCTTCAAGCTTCCGGTCGTAGGACATGCCATGTTCGAAGCCAACTCTTTAACTGCGAAGCTGATGTCCATCCGCTCTTGGCTTAAGTAGATGCCGCAGCCCACCAATGACCGGTAAAGTCCTGCCAGCTCTGACCCTAGTGGAACTGTACCATCCTGTTCCAACATCTCCTGACCACAAGGGAGTTGTTGCTGCTTGACTCTACCCATCACCGCCTCATACTTCTCAACCATTTCCTCTGCATACTTTCCTGGGTGGACTCGAAGAATGGATTTGTCTTGTTCTTCTCCCAACTCATAGGTTCTTCGAAGGAACTGAATCTGGTCCTGTGACTTCTCAAGATGTTGATGGGAAATCTCAAATCTCGTGGTGATCTTGGGTAGAAACACCTCGGTCACATAGGCCTGCCTTCCCACGAACATGATGTCGTCCACATGGATTAGGATCATCATTTCTTCTCCATTCCTCCCCAAACACGGATTCTCTTTGCAAAACTCAAAGCCTTGCTTCTCCAGCCATTGTGTGCCTTGGCCCCGATTCTTTGGCCCGGGAGGTTCTTCAGTACCTCAAAGTGCCCATTTGGCGTCCTCAACTGGGTAGGTACTTCTTGGTCTACCTGTAGGAAGGCGTCCTTCACGTCTAAGCTTCCCAACCAGTATCGTTCACCACCCACCTCCTCCTCCTGCTTCTTCATGAGGTAGATGAGTGGGAGAAGCCTCAGGGCCTGTCCTCCGGATGCCGGAGAATGGACTTCATCATTCTTCTCATGCGCATACTCTCTTGCAACCATCCTTGAACGTCGCAGCCACTGCTTCCTGTCCATTCCTGGTCTTGGCTTGGCCCTCCAATCATGGACAAACCGTGTTGTCAGCGTTTTGTGTCCAGGTAGAGGTCCTGCCATTGCCTTCAGGACTCCCATCTTCTGCAGTCTTCCTTCCTCCACGGCGTCTGCGAGATCATGGAGGGTCTGGAGGTACACGATCAAGTGGTGCATCCAGCCACAACTCATCTGGCAAGGACTCCTCCTTCTCTGACTCCAGATTCCACTCGATCTTCTCCTCATCCCAGATTGCATCGTTGTGGTAGTATAGGTTCTCCCCAACCTGGGTGGCTGAGATTCTCCTCTCCATTTGATCTCCTTCTTCATGTTTACTTCGCTTGGGCTCTGGGTTCTCGACCTCAACTGGGTGAATGCTCTTCTCAACCGTGGGTTTTAACTTCTTTGGATCTGGTTCTCCACTTCCTTCACCTGCCAAATTCTTCTGGCTCGAAGGTCTCGGTGTTGACGGTGAAGACAATCTCGAATTCTCCTCATCGGTCATAGGAGCAAGTGCTTGGATTGGAATTACTTCCTGGAGTGCCTGCTCCTCCTCTGTGAAGCTCACCTTCTTGTCTTCCCGGACTTTCTTCTCCTCCTCATCTAGGGTCTCTCCGGGACAACCTCCTCCTCTTTCCTTTCTTCAATCTTTCCGGCATAGGACCTTGCAAAGGTGATGACCTCATAGGCCTCTCTGTCCTTCTCCGCTAGGGCCTCCAGATCTTCTACGGTGAGGTTAGCTGCTGGTCCTTCCACCAAAGTTGCAAGTCTCTTCGATGGGACAATGCGGCCACCAAAGTTGGTTTGGTACTCCCAACTGTATGCACTGAAGCCCTTGAAGCATCCAAGATAGTGTTTCCAGGATTGGTCAACTCTTCGAATGGATCTGCTGAGGAACACCCTGCTTCCGTCTCCAACTATCCAGCAGTCCTGGGTTTCACTCTTTCCCAGACATATCCCTAGCTTCCATCGGGGATCCGCCTTGTACCCTTGCTTGTGCTTCACATAGGCAGAAATGACCTCTCCATACCTGCAAATCTTCCCTTCATATGGTCGACCATAGGCGAGCTCATAGCTTGTAGTACCCTGAGTTGCTTGGAAGCGGTTCACGATCCATGCACTGTGGCGACAACACCAACTCCACAATGGATGTTGGGCACTGAAGCGTAGGCCTGTTTGAACTACAATCTCTTCCATGAGGCTTGCTGCAACTCCTCGAATCCTCTGCACTGCATTCTCGGCCAGGGAATTGCCTGAGGAGTCATACAATTTCGTCGTCCTCATGTGGGTTTCCAAGCCAATCGCCCTCCTTGCCTGCACCAACAACTTCAGCACACGACGCGCAGTGGGCTCATTGTCTGCATAGTATGTGACTTTCTCATGGCCGAGTGGTTGGGTGAAGGCTAACAGCTCGTGGGCGATGAGGCTTGTCTGGTTCTTCGATCGAAGCGGCAACCCCAACAAACAGCCCGTTTCTGAGCGCACAGCAACAAGCCATAATGCTCCTCCTTCATCCGCTACGCCCATCTGGGCCTGATCTGCCTCTTCCGGTGCCCCCAGTGGTCCTATTCCTCGCTCATTCGTGTAGGAAAAGTCGAACGACACCACTGTTCCTGCTTCCCGAGACTTCCCAGTGCGCCTGTGAGGATCTGGCCGTCCACGGTGTTTGATGCAGGATGGACACCATGGAGCGTACGGGACGTGAGTGAGGGAGTGTTTCCGCTTCTCCTCCTCATTGGGCTCTTTTGCAATTGCTTGCTCTCGAGGGACTCTTCCTTGAGATGCCAATGCTTGGTTTGCCAAGTCTCTTGCTTGAAGAAGTTCCAACTGGGCTTGATGCTCCACCAATCGACTAAAGCACTTTGCTTTGCTCCCAGGCTGTCCGATTTGGTAAAAGGCGCAGGCTGCTCTCAGAGTCCTCAACGGGCTTTCCAATGTCAACTCCACTCCATTGACTTGGATCCTTGCTGGAATAGCCACTCCAACCTCTATACGCACCGCCTGGTCATCCAAGGAAACACCTCCTTGGGGGTCAGGCACTGCAATGTCTCTTCCTTCCATCTCCTCTTCACCTTCTGCCTCTGGGATCTCGTAGTCCTCCACATTGGTTTTCATCCTTTTCGATGCCTCATAGTCGAAGCCTTCCACCTCAAATCCAAGGTCTTCCGGTGCCTGTGCCACTGTCGATGGGGCAACAAAGGTCACAATCTTCGCCATGTACTGGCCTTTCAACTCCTCAATCTCACATTCCTGATCTTCCATGGCATCAATGGGCTCTGTCATCTCCACCAACTGCCATCGATCTCCCTTTTGAACCACCGTTGAGCGGCTGACTCCATCCTTCTGATTCCTCAAATCAGGGATGAACTGCGGGCTCTGAAAGGATTGCCCCCTGTGAACCTATCCACCGATCTCCATGCTTCTTCCAGCCTGTCTGCTCCTCCACGATCTTCCTCAAGTCCTCACTCAAAGTGACCTGAAGCATCCTCACGAAGCTCCCTAGGGCCACTGTCCGGACCTGACCATGGACCACCAGGCTTTGGTTCTGGAAGCTCAACGGGATCTTAACCTCCCCATTCACCAGGTACTGCTCTTCCCCACTGGTTGACCATCCTGAGCGAAGGAGATGGCCAAAAGAGAGGATAGGTTGAGCCACCACATCACTGAATGTGACTCTCTCCTTGAGGATCACCATCCGATCATCCTCTGACTTCAGCTCGATGTCCACATCTCTGCGCCCGTAGGTTCGAATGGCCCCTTGAGCATCCTAGAGATAGGGTGACACTCCATGAGCTTTCTTTCCCTGCTTCAGCATGTAGCCTGGAAAAATAGAGGCGTCAGCTCCCGAGTCCACGATGATAGTCGCCTCGACTTTCTCTTCTTCACCTCCTTCTCCATGGACCACTTCATACCACTCATCCGGTGGCACTTCATGAACCACCTTTACACTCGGGATGTTCTCATCGTCCTCCTCGTCATCGGTGGCGATGTTGTAGAACTCCACTGCTGCCTTCTTCCTCTTAAAGCTCACCTCCTGCAGCATTCGAATTGCTCCACTGGTCTCCTCATAGCTCCTCAAATCGAAGACCACTGGCTGTGAAACTCGTCGGACAGCTTTCACTGTAACCTCACTTCCCTGCTGGACCGACGTCGTAGTGCTGGGTGACACTGTAGGTGGAGTTGAACTCGAAGGCGCATTGGATGCTGGCGCTTCGATTTGGCGTACACGCCAACAGTCCTTTGCAAGGTGACCTGGACGTCCACAAGTCCAACAAGTCTCAACCGGTCCCTTGCCTTTCCCTTTCTCCTTTCCACCTTTTCCCTTTCCATCTCCTTTGGACCCAAATGTCGTCTTTCCTCCTTTGCCCTTGGACTTGCCCTTTTCTTCTTTGCCCTTTCCTTTGCCCCCTTTTCCTTCCTTTGTCTTGCCCTTGCCTTTCTCTTTTCCCTTCTGTAGACGGTCCACCTCCATGGGAGCAGGTCCATTGGGATCATACGAAGCGGGTGGCATTGGGCTCGAACTCGAGAAGCTCAGTGCTGCTGACTCATTCCATTTGGTGTTCGCTGTATCGTAGGCTAGCACTGCTTCTCTGATCTTTCCATAGGAGCTGCCTTCGTTCAAGGTCATGTTGAGGTGCACCTTGAGGGGCCCTGAGATGGCCTTCAACAGCACCGCTGCTCTCATGTCCGGCGGCAGCTTTCCTCCCAAACGCTCATATTGGGTGAAGTGCTCCTCAAGCTTCAGCAGTTGGGGCAGGATAGATGGCTTCATGTTGAAGCTTGGATAGGCCATGATGCCTTGAAGCAAATTCATCGCTCTATTCCGGGCCTGTGGTTGGCAGTTCAGGAGCATTTGTCGTAGAGCTTCAAAGCCGTTGTAGCTGGAGACACTCTTTATCAACCCAACCAATCTTCCTTGCACCAGGCTTCCCAACAGGCTGTATAGAAACCTCGCTCTTTCTTGCTCCTTTTCGTTGAGGAACTCCCAATCCACTTCATCTCCACTCTTCTCTTCAATCTTTGCCAACTCTTCCTGATAGGCACTATCCACCACCACCAAATACTGCTTGAGACTCCAGAACCAATCGCGCCACTGGAGGATCTCCTGTTCACGATCAACAGGATGGAAACTTCCTGGACGTGGGATCAGGCGGGCTAAATTTTTTTTCACCAAACCATTCGAATCTCCTGACCCGGTTCCACCTCCCGTTGTCGTAGTCGAAACTGCTTGAGCCGCCTGAGTAGCAGCTGTCGCTGTAGCTATGAGGGCTTGGGTCAACTCCTCAACTCCGGGCAACACCCCGGTCCCATCCATCTCCCAACCAGGCCTTCAAAGGGGTCAAGGGCACTCTTGATCTTTATGATGTAGGGGCTTCTCCTGAATCTCAAGGGTCTTCTCCTTTTCCTGGGTATGGGCAAGCTGGTACTCCAAGGTGATCTCCACTCAACTCGTCCACTTAATCACAAGCTTTGATTGCGAGAGCTTGCAACACCAGTTTATGGTGGCGCAGCAATCGCGGGGAACTGGGGCGCGTGGAGGATCTGGGTCCTGTCCTCTTTCCTCAAGAGTCTCCCTGGAGCTCCGGGCAGATCTATGAAATGCCCTTCACAGCTCCGCTACCATGTGAGAGCTCTTTTGGACACGAAAGGGCCTGCGTTTGGTACACATGATTTGTGCGTGTCATCCTTGTGAACTAGGAGGTTTCTTTCTCGCAATAAGGCTTTTGGTTTCTCCACCGGCCTGGCTACGCCACAACAAGTCAAAATTGGCGCTCACTAAAGATACAGTAATTCTTGTTGACAAATATGTTGGCAAAAGCTGGTGCCCGAGATGCTGGTTGATGATCTCTCATATTTTGCATCTTTTGTTCTTGGAATGTATCCAAACTTTGTTGCTTGTTGGTCTTCTTTCCTTGTTGCTTTGTATCTTTTTTTGGAGTTCTGATTCACTGCGGATGCCGTCCCACCTTGATTCCTTTGGAATGTGTTTCTGTTTTTGTTTGTCGTGCCCTTCCTGCCCCCCTCGTAGCCAGTTGCTGTAAAGGCATGTTGTGCGACGTTGATTGTCAACATAGATTGCGCACAGGGCGTCCACATACACCTTCAGAACAGCACAAGAAGCCCCTCCATCACAGCACGATGGATGCCCAAAGCGTTCATCACAGCAGTCTACTATATGATTACAAAAATCACAATGGCTCTAATCGCCGTGGCATCCACAACAAAAGCAAAGTATTTCTACTTGACTTTGCGCCTTGCATGTGTTCGCTTGTTGGAAAAACCCAAGATGTGTTACCGTTTACCACTTACCACCCACAAGAGTGATTCATCTGTCCATTCCCTGCATTCTTGCAGCCCCTTGAATAGTGTACGGCTTGCCTACCCGATACTAGCCACCAAGAAGTGAGTTGCTCTTCCGTGCTATCGCAAGGCGCCACCAATCATGCCCTGTTGGGATCTACAGACACCGGGGTCGGAGACTACAAAAGGTGCACACAATGCATTCGGCAGATTGGTAACAAAGTACACGCCAAAGAGTAGTAACTACATGCTGACCTGCTACGCACATAGAAAACAGTTGTGGCAAATTGCACTGCCAGAACTAGCATTGCCAAGCAGTATGGTTTGGCCAAACCCGTGCTAACTTCAGGTGATGATTCCAAATCGGCTATCAGAAATGACCCCACAAAATGTTTGCAAGTGATGGAGGTTGTTTTTAATTCACTACTGTGAGCAAAGCGATATTGCATGTTCCACATTGTGCTCATAGCAGCGAAACCCTCAAGCAACGACATGTGCCTGCAGGAAGGTCGAGTTTCTCGGCGAACCTCCACTTCGAGAATCCTCACGGCACAATACCAATCAAGTTTCATAACCACCGAAACCCTAAAGCACTGCTTGGCAAATTGCACCAGCAGTAAAATGCGGAGCCGTCCTGATGCCTCGACGCTGAGACGTGCGCAAATGCGGTGGACAAAACCGATATGAGCATCAACGAAGCTAGCACTGCCACGGAAAGCCAGCAACGAAGACTCGGAGCTGCCAAGCCATCAATTGGATCTGAAGCGTGGACATTCGCAATCGTGAGGGTTTGCAAGTCTGGGATGATTTCCAACCCAATGGTGGAATTCAAGATCAGCGGCACGTCTCCTGGTCGACACGCCTGACATTGTTTCATACAACCCAAAAATGCAAACAGCACGACGCGAAACGGGACTCAGGCAGACTCATGCAAATCCAGCACGGCCAATGACATGATGCCCTCGTGAGTTGGATGTTTGCGCCGCGTTCCAATTTTGGCCCACACTATGCTACAATGCAAATTGCATACAGTTTCAACCCGGCAAGGCTGTGAGTCTTCCCCTGGGTTGGGTTCCCGGCAATGTGTGAAACTGATGGAACAAAAAGCAACCCGGCACAACAGTTCTTGGATCAACACATCCCGCAATTAGTCAATAGTTGTTTGCAATTGTCTTGCGCGGCCTCAGGGACGCAAATTCCCAGCCCCAGTTGGAGTGCATTGCTGGGAGCCAGCGGCAAAGCTCCAGTCATTGTGGCCAGCAAATAATGAGCTCCAGGAATGCTAGTGCACATTCCAAATTTTCCTCCAGCGTTGTCAAGAAACATTGCCCAATGCCATCAAGCCCCACAACAACAAATGCCCAAACTCATTGTTGGGGGGGGATTTGCACTCAAAGTATTGGAATGTCTGTGCCTGCGTCTTTTGGCAACCCTTTGCCAGTCGCTAACGACATCTCAGCCCATATCGCTCTTGGCAAAGCACCCACCGAATCCACACAACCTCACAAATAAAAAATGCCAGGGCAATTGAATTCAAGTCCCATGATGTCACATTAAGTCCCACATCGAAACCGAAACTCAAAGCAAGTTGCACCCGGGAAACTTGGACTATCTGTCAACTTTTGGGTGCCCATGGCGGTCAGGATCAAGCACCAATCTGACCACTGTGATTCAAATACTCAACATGCAGGGGAACGCAGCCTTCCTGCAAAAGAAGGGCTGAGAAAGCTCATCTCGAGCCAAAACGATCCCATCCACCCCGATGTGCCACGCGATGCTACTACCAGTTGCTGTGTGGTCTAGTGGCAACCTGCCGGAAGTTCGGAAACACATTGCCCAAACCAAACAGATTTTCAATTTTTCTGACCACATACCGCGGGTGTGTGTGTGTGTGAAGATCCTCGGGCTCACAAGGAACCCGCACGCAAAGGCGCAAGTGAACACGCAAGGTCTTTTTTAATTTCTGGTTTTACACTCCCACACACACACACTTAGATCCACGCTCGCAAGAGCTCTATCAGTTTGGACATTCCGGAAGCTAGGCGCTCATTACATCAGACCCTGACTCGCAGGAACCGCAAGGCGAAGGGTCAAAGCTTGAAGTTTTGAGCATCACGCAGTAGCACTTTTGGAAAACATGGAGTCACAGCTTGTTCAACAGTTGAATCGGCAAAACGGAAAAGTAGTTGCAGGCACGGTTGCACGACAGCTTGGATGGATCTTCGTTGGCCCATGCCATCCAAGTGTCCATGGGCTCTCTGCTGATCTGTACATTGTTAAAATATAAAAGTTTCCAAGGGGTGGAGACGACCAATGTGGTCATGCGCCCTTGGAACGGGAGGTGGCGCACACACACACACACACACTCACTTAGCCGTATCGGCGATCCCTGATCGGATTTTGCCGCGCACTGGTCGATCACACTCCTTGGGTGGGTGCCCCTTATTGGCGTAGGACTTGGCAGGCAGGCCCACTTTGCTGATGATTCACCACACAAGATATATACTCATGGTTCATGGGGGCAGGGAAACGGAGCAGCGCTGAGAAGCTTTTGTGGAGCATCCGAAGGATAAAAAAGGTGTGTTGAGAGTTGATTCGCATAGGTGACAAGTATTTCTACTAAAGCGGGCTTTCAAGTCACGAAAGCTAGCCTTAGCTAGCTGGAGTTGCTCTTGCTTTAGCAAGTTAAGTGACGGGGTGGACGCACCTCAGAAACTTCAAATAATTGATTAAATCAATCTTATGGACCCCCCCCCCCCCCGCGGTTCGACTCCCCCCTGCGCGCGGTGAGCGGGACCACCAAGCAGCTGCAGCACACCAAGCATCTGCAGCGCCCAGCGCAGCAGCGGCAGCAGCAGCATACCCAACGCCAGCAGCCGCAGCAGACCACCCAGCAGCAGCAGCAGCAGCAGACCACCCAGCAGCAGCAGCAGCAGCAGCAGCAGCAGCAGACGACGACCCGGCGCCTGCAGAGCACCCAGCGCAGCAGCGGCAGCAGCAGCACCAGCAGCAGCAGCACCAGCAGCAGACCACCGGAAGCCCGGCTAGCTTTCGTTCACCCCCTCTGGCCTCAAGTCTATTTCGAAATTGGTTCGCCCCTAGCCACATGCGCAGCTCCACTGGAGACCGAAGACGCGCACAAACTGATAGAGCTCTTGCAAGCATGGATTTAAGTGTGTCCCACAACAGCGTCCCACTGTGGTCTGTTCTATGATCCCAGCTTTGAACGCTTTGGCCCTTAGGGGTGCTCACTTCTTTTCAAGTCCTGCGCGCCTATCCACTGATCAGCCGTTTGCTATACCCGGCTGTACTGACCCGGGACTGACCCTATCTCAGCCAAAACAAGTGGATAGATTTGAAAGCTAGAGGGTCAAAATAAAGCCAAAAAAATCCCTGACCAATCCAGATAGATAATTTTTAGAAGGCGTGAGGTTGGCAAACTAGACGAATAGGATCGAGGAAACTGCTCCCCCCAAAAGTAAACGCTAATCGACGAGCGGGGCAAAAAGGAAAAAGTTCCCAGGCTCAGGTTTGTGGAAAAAACGCTCTGTATGCTCTGTGGTGGTCTGGCATCTGAGAGAACTACGGATTGTTGCGGACGTCTGCAAACCTTAGAAGGTTGGTGTTTTTTTGCAGGTTCTGTATTTCTCCTGCGTTGCATATTTTGCCTGCAGGCCGAAGACGCGTACAAAAGTTTGAGATCCCATTTCCCAAAGAGATGTTCATGGGGACAGTTGCTGTGAAGCCCGGACGTGTAGTGCGTTAATCCAGGTCATGGAGCTCGGAAAATCCAACGAGCGGAAATCTAACGAACATGCAACGAGCGATGTTCTATGTTTCTTTCCCTTTTCTACTCCCACTACCAAGTGGATAAAATTGGAGCATTAATTCTGCATTTTTTAATGCACTGACCCATTTCATCCACCCCGAAAAAGACTATCAACTCCTTACTTTGGCTGCGTTTTTGGGGGATAAACCCCCTTGGATAGGCTGCTGGCAGGCTGGCAAACGGATAAAGTCCAGGCACTGACCCCATTAATTTTATCCACTCAGTACGCCTTCTTATCGCTTGCTCGAGATGCAGGTCATATGCCGCAGGGACACCTGATTCCAGCACAAAATGTCATACATTGTTGTCGAACCAAGCATTTTGGCCAAGCAAGTGACACCAAGCCTGTGCCCACGTTCAACATCAAATGAATGAGCATCTTCGGACAACAAACCTGAATTTTCCGCATGTTCTCGACCTGACTGCTCTTCAAGGTGCCGTGGTGCATCGCCAGCCACGCACTCCTCATTCATCATTCGTTTTTTCCGGCTCACTGTCTATCTCATCACCTGCGCCTGCTTCATGAATTTCCACATGGTGCAGGAGGTAAGATCGAACTATTTTGCTGGCCGACGAGTTGGGTGCTCTTTTACGCGCTTCTTCTCCAAAAGGTCCGCAAAAATTGTTTGCACAAAATTTGTGCGGAAGAAAAGGCAAAGTTCCTTGGTTTTTGTTGCAGCTAAGTTTCCTACTTGGCCCACCAGGACCAACCTCCCGAAATTAGCTTTGAGTGACGAAGACTGACAACATTGCAGTCAAAAAATTGCAACCAGCATGCGCACGGACAGCCCTAGCTCTCCGCTTTGAAAGAGCCACGAGCACATTGTGAGACACATTTTCCCTACGCAGCCTGGTGCCCTTCCATCTGTCCTCGCTCTGTTCTCGTGGATCAGCCATACCCCATTGCCACTGTCCGTGGGCGGGGCAGCGTGCGGCACCGGTTTCGGGGGCTGCGCAGCGGCCCTCCAGCATGACTTCGCGGACCTTGAGGGCGCTGCGTGGGAGCAGACCTTGAGGGCGGGAGCTTTTGGACACTGCCGACGGCCCAGCCGGGCAAGGCAGTGGAGTGCACGAGGTTCTGCGAGCGGCGCTCTTCGCCACACACCGCATGGGTTTCCGTCCGGCTGGGCGGGCTTGTGGCGGCAACCAGCGCAAAAAGGAAAAAACCCGCCTTCTCCTGTGCTCTTCCTCTTCTCCCTTTGAGCCACCACACTCCAAGATTTGCTCGGACCAAGCGTCGCCAGCTCCGCTGGCCATGCAAACCAGCAGCAAAAGTTTGACTTGACCAGCCAGACTCTGATGTGCTTCTAGGCCCCTTGGATAGCAGTGGTGTATGACGTTCCATGATTTATTTGTGTTGTTTCGTTGTTTTTTTTTGTTTTTGTTTTCTCTTTCTCTCTATCTCTCTCTATCTACCTACCTACCTACCTACCTACCTAGCTACCTAGCTACCTAGCTACCTAGCTACCTAGCTACCTAGCTATCTAGCTATCTAGCTATCTAGCTATCTATCTCGCTCTCTCTCTCTCTCTCTATCTGTGGGTCGGGTTTATATTGAGTTCCCGCTGCTTCAGCGAGGAGGCCTTGCCAATGACTGAGATTCTGAAAACACATCTAGGTGATTACAACAAATATATAATCTGACATTTGCGGACAACACTAGAAACATGTCATATCCTCCTTCAAAGGCGCTCCTTTTCTAACAGGATGCGTATCGCGGGCACGGCACGGCCTGTCAAGAGTTTCAGTCGCTGACAGCCTCAAGACACAGGCGTTGCAGGAGGCTGTTTGGGACAGGAACGGGGACATGCGCGTCGCAGGATTGTTGGATGATTATTGGGGACACCAGTCTGTTCTGTGAACTTCAAAGGCCAAACTGCCAGGCACGGAACGGAAGCTGAACCTGCAGGCTCGCCGCAAAAGGTTTCAAGGCAGAATGGGCCACCCGAGAGGAGGAGCATCAACGTCCGAACTTCACAGTGGCCGGCTTTGCTTACGCGCAGTTTGGTCTGTCGAGGCCGTCTCAAGGAATGGCTGCCAAAGCGACGAAATGGCACCTTGCAGCGCGGACAAACAGTAGGTCCGTTGCTTAGTATGGCAGCGAAAAAAAACACGGCATCAACAGGAACGCTCAACAAGCGGATGCCTGAGGTCGAGGGTGCTGAGCGGCGTTGGTGCATGGCTGTGGAGAAAAAACAACACACAAACCGTCACAAACCCCGCTTACTTGCAACGGCGCCCGGAACACTAGTGTTGAGGGGAGTTGGGATTCAATGTGAGGAGGCAAGCGCTAAAGCCTTGTGAGGCCAGTGCATGGCAGTGCAAGCACAAACTTGATTGTTCCATTCATGAAGAACAAAGCACGCGATTGAGACTCGACCAACTTGTCTCACTTGGTGGCCTGACACTGGCGCACTTTACAAAAAGGGTCCAGCTTTGACAATGGCCTCCTGCAAACCAAGCCGCTGATGAAATATCTCAAAAAAATCATGCAAAAAAACATCAGACCACAAATGGTCTCCAGAACATTTGTGCCAGGAGTAAATTTCAACAAGCCTTTTGTATGGCGTAAAACATAAATGAAACAATGTGATTTTAGGCGATAAAATGAAATTGCCTTTCATT